TTACGGTAAATAGAGTCACACTCGAAAACACGTTTTTTTTTATTCGTTGTCTTGATTTAAGGAGTGATATTCCTCTCATACTTCATAAAAAATCTTTCAGATCGGAAATAAAACGGGTATACAACTTCAACATGTCTGAGATTCTTTCCAAAATGCTTGAAATCTAGGAAGCACTTGAAGAGAATATATATACGGATACAATTTAGTAGGCATGGCGAAGTAGGTGTTTTACTGTAGAAACCTAATATCATTCCGATAAAATTAAACAAACAAAAAAAAAAGTGGTGCAACTATGTTAACGTTCCATGGTGTTCCTGGGGTTGGACCGCCCCTCCTCCTTTTTACAAAATGGCTGGATCCGCGCCTGGCCTTCAACAATGATAAAACAAGAATGTGTCCATAGCACAAGGATGCCCCACTCGCACTATCATTTTCTATGTTCAGTGGACCGCGAAATTGATGTCAAAACTCTAATTTGGCATTAAAATTAGAAAAATCATATCATAGGGAACATGTGTACTAAGTTTCAAGTTGATTGGTCTTCAACTTCATCAAAAACTACCTCGACCAAAAACTTTAACCCGAAGCGGGACAGACGGACGGGACGGACACACGGACGGACGAACAAACGGACGCACAGACCGAAAAACATAATGCCCCTAGGTGGGGCATAAAATGACTACATGTCAGCGATTAAAGCCGGTTAAAAACCACATTCCTTATCATAAAATTTTGCATGTTCTTTTAATCGCAATTGGTCATTATACATATCGAGATTAAGGAGATTGGTAAGAACTGGAGAAACGAGTTAACAATGTCACATTCATGTAACTGTTCCAAGTCAGAAGCTGCGTAACTGGTTGTCTTTAAATATACACCTCAAAGTTGTTAACCATTTAATGAAGTTGGTGTTTATATTTAAGTCTTTGAGTGTGTCTTGATTAATTTAATAACAATTTGTTCTATTTTCAAGTATATCCCACATGAGGGGGTGATACGGGATGCTCATTTCCCACTTTTTTCTGCTTTCCACTTGTTTTCCTTCTTTTTCCAAGATCCCACTTTTTAACCCTATATCCCCCATCTTTTTTTTCCTCTTTAGTATGTATTAATATTTAAAGCAAAAACGGACCATTATTTAGCATACTCGGTTACAAAGATTCAATGAGTATGCTTCAACAATAAACAAGTTTCTATACTTGTCAAGCTATAAATCGCCCCGAGTACATAAGTTGTGAACAGATTTACAGCTCTTCTATAAAAGCATGCAAAGCAAACCTTTGATCAACTTGCTTGCTATGTTTGTTTGGATGTTTGTAAACAAAAGGTAGGTAGTCTGTTTCAGTCTGTTTACTATATAATGGAATTTGATTGGACAATAAACATTTACTTCATTGCATGTCAATTTTTATTGTCCAATCAAATCCCAGTATATATAAAACAGACTGAAACTCCGCCTACCTATTGTTTGCAAACACCCAAGCAAACATAGCAAGCAAGTTGATCAAAGGTTTGCTTTGCGTGCTTTTATAGAAGAGCTGTAACAGATTGAAACAATCAAAGATCTTCTTATAACACCAACTTATCCACTTGTTGTAAATGATATCATGGGGATATTTGTATATACAATTTACTTAAACAGTATGATTTGCGTGCACACATCACGAGTTCTTGGAATAACCTTAATTAGGTACGCTCAAAAATTTGGAAAAGACAAATAATTAAAATGTTTGAATTTTTTAAATCTACAAAGAACCAAAAGGAATAGCCTGAACCACTAAGGTTAACACTTCCTGGTGGAGTCGGAATTATAGTTTTAACACAATTACATAATTGTATTAACTGGATTTACAAAAATATTAACGATAAATTTACATGATTGATAGTTCACTTACATAAACATCAAATTTGTATATGTTCAAAATGTCTTTTTATATTCCTACAAATGAGATTTTATGAATAATCAAAACTACGAAAGCTCTCGATAGTTTGATTCTGTAGCATATTTAACATAATATAATATTAACATTTGAGGTAATGGTGTGTCAATAATCGTTGTACCTTTGTACTTTCGTTGAATAGGCAGTTAAAGAATTATTTAATTTATCGACATCCGGCTTGTCATCACCATATTTAAATATCCAGGGGTTGAGCTTCTTTTGTGTTAAATCGCTTTTAGTACGATTTAGATTATATGGCATAGGTGGTCCAACTGGCTTTCTCAAAGTCTGATATCCTAACCCTGCCTTATCCAGCATTTCTTCCCATCTTTCTTGTCTAGTTAGGTATTCATTCTGTGTACCATTTATTGACGTACACGATGCGTTCCATGGTTTGAACGGCCGTGAATGTCTGTTGTATGGATTGTCTTCGTCTGTCATATTGTCTTGTCTGTCAGATAACATATCACTCTCACTTGGAACTAAAACAAATACAAACTTGTAATCAATGAATAAATAAATAAGTTAGAAAATGAAATGAAATTAAATTGAAAAAAATAGTATTATAAATAATTATATGAAAACGAAATACTATCTTAAAACTAAGTCTTATAAATCTTATAAAATGATTTACATTTATACAGAAAACATGACCTTTTTCTGATTGACATGCATTTTAAAGGAAGTGTCATATTGTTTCATGATTGTGATTATGCTATTAAACATGTGCCTATGAATTATTTCGTAGGTTTGAAATCGGAAATTCTACCAATTCTTGCAAAAACTTTCCAATATTTCTCATTACTGTTCATGGTTGACAAATTCAGGTTATTGAACATTATTAAATTTATGTTGTGACAAGAGACCGACGAAACAACACTTCAACATAATTGAAACAATGCAGGACGTTCTATTAATCAATTTTTTGTCAGTTATTGATTTGTGTGTGCATGCTTTACGTTCAGTGGCAAATATTTCACCCCCTCACGGTGACTGGGGATAGAAATAAGGTAATATTGGTCCTTTCGACCAGCAGTAAAAGCTTGCCGAAATGCGACGTCCGTTTATCTGTGCAGGTGGTATGAAGTTCAGAATGGGACGTTAAATCCGAGAGAGAGAGAGAGAGAGAGAGAGAGAGAGAGAGAGAGAGAGAGAGAGAGAGAGAGAGAGGGAGAGAGAGAGATTGAGAGATTGCCTGGTTAATGATTAAAACAACAAAAGGACAACAAGCAATACAGACATCAGCCAACAACAACAACTACATTACATGCTGCTGAGAGAGAGAGAGAGAGAGAGAGATTGTTGGACGCCAAATTTCTATTTCTATTCAGAATACAATTGTTTTCATGTAGCAGTCCAAATATTCCTGTTGTACCACTGTGCAGAACTTACATCTTGTATTAATTGTTAAAAGTTGCTCGTCCTGAATATGCATGAAATAATTACCATTTGGTGATTAGCCAGCAACAATCAATCAATAAGGACAATAACGAATTAATTATTAATACACTATGTATATTCTGCGTGGTAAGTTTAGAACATGGCGGATGGCAAATTTATTCTGCACCTAAATAATGAGGACTTGTTGGATAGGGCAGACATTTTTACATTTCATCGGGCATCAAACGGACTCCTCAGGAAGTTGTTTAAAGAGTTTTGAAACTTCTCCAACATGGGACGTCGGATTTAATGTCCCCATATCGTGGTTGCGTATTTGTACATCCCACACAGCAAAAGGGACAACTCAGTATATCAAGAGTGTTACTGCCGGAAGTGGAAAGTCCAATCATGGCTATATTTCTCTTCCCCAGTCAACCCTTGAGTTTTTAAATCAGTGGTAAAAACCTCAATTTCATTCCGTTTAAAAAGCCTCAGTCGTTAACGTGATCAGGTATGTTCTTATTGTCATACCAAATCGTAAAATTTTGACAAAATGATAACAATAAACATGCATTGTTTGTCTAAAATGTGTGTCTTCCAATAAAGAAATGCCTGCCGTCAATATGTAGTAGATGTATGAGCAGAAATGGCGAAGTCCATGTTTCAGCTTAGATACTGAAAAAATCACACTCAGATCAAATATTGAAATAGACGGTGTACAACTTTCTGTCCGATAGAAGAATCTGTGCATGCATTGTTGATATCTGTCAAGCTGGTTTCAGGGAGTGAAGGATTGACAAAATGTGTCGCCGACGACACATCATGACAGAAAGGATCTCTATTTGTCGCTCAAGCTTCACCGTAAGGCGACACAACAATAATGGTCGTCCATATGTGAATTATGATCTGCTGACCCTTCCGAAGCAGATAAAATTACCCCCGTTTTTTCTGTGGGGTTCCTTTTGCTTAGTCTTTAGTTTTCTTTGTTGTGTTTTGTATACTGTTGCTTGTCTTTTTGGTCGTATTACGGTTTTTTTTTTGCCATGGCGTTGTCAGTTTATCATCGACTTTGAGATTGAATATCCCTTTGGTATCTTCTGCCATTCTTTTCCAGATATGTCTTGTTTGCCTTTATAGTTAAGGATGTTCGCTCCTCTTGTTTATGAATTTTTGCCAGCTATTCGGAATCCTCTGGTTTTGTTCATGTAGTGTCATTAAAGATTTTGCCTACTAACCCTATATTTTCTTTCCATAAGTTGATTACATATAGTTTAAAATGCCATCTTTGAAAATCTTACAAAATCCTTGTTATTTTTCATCGTTTTTGAAAGAAAAAAGGTGCCATTGTTAAATGTATGAAAAATCTAAAGAGAATTATTTCCCGCCAAATTTTTAATGTCCTATATCTCGAAAACAAGCACACAGACCCTACATTTTTTCTGCTTTTTTAGTTTCTTTATTTATATACTATCAATTTATAACAGTCTTTTAGAACAGAGTAGCGAACATCCTTAAGCAATATTGCAAAACTGTCTTAAATGTGTAAATCCATAATAATTAATATCACCATAGAAGAAATCCACTTACATTTAGTAAAAAGTTTTGATGACCCATCAAATCTAAAAAAGACAAAGAGTCATTAGCAAATACTTATTTGTTCTAGTAGTTTCAGTGTAATAACTACGTTAATTTATCAATCTCAAAGAACATACTGATATTTATTCCTCTTATTAATGAAGCATACTAATTTCAATATTAATATGTCAATTTATCTGTTTCCCAAGGATGTCATAACGAACTTTAAAGATTTGCATAAATTTTATCTTTATAAAAAAAAAAGCCGCATGACGTTTTACCCAACTATTTTATTCATATATGAACTTCAAAAATGAGAAACGTTTCTTATCTTTGATATGGGATTGATGTTGAAATATCTTGTGTGTTTCAAGATTGTGTACTTCCAGTTAGTCGTTAATCGGAGAGTTAAACACAACATTGAGATAAAATAAAATCAAAGTCAATTTAATCCTCAATTCGAATTTTCTGGTTTACGACTTGACGGAAATAATATCATACGTAATCTTGCAAAGTTGAACTATTTAATATTTCTGTTAAAAAAAAAAATCTAATGTAAAAATTGTCCAATCAACCATATGTTTATCCGTCTTGCAAATTCTGTTCAACCATGATTAAATCATGATGGACCGAAGCGCCACTTATTCATGAAGGTCCATCTGAACAGGTGCATACTAGTATAACTACTTCAGTAATCATGACAACGTACCTCAATTATTTAGGGGACAAATATTGACAATAGGCGGGTTTCAATGCTTGTGGCTTTTTTTGACAGGCTATATTAATAATAATGACGCTACTTTGTAATGTACGCCATGAGTCATCTAATAATCAGACTCATCAGTACATGGCACTCAATTCAAGTTGCAGTTGAAAGGCCAAATCAGTTACAAAATTGAAGATCATTGAAAACCAGAACTCTAATAAAGTTGTGCAAAATCTGACTATCGCCATCTATACATGGGGAAAGAATACTTAGTGTATCGTATGATTTGTACATTATGACCAGTAAACTTACAGAAAATCCCAGTACTAATGATATTTTTTATCAGAACAGAATCACCGACTACTGGGATGACGGTGACGAAGTTATTTCATTTCATACTCGTCAATTGCAATGGGTATGCTATATATAATCCTGAAAGCGTAAGAGATTCTACTGATGACAACACATATCAGCGTTATAGATAATTTAAGTCTTCGTCTTACTTCTTAACATTAATGATCAACGCATTGTCATGACAAACATTAAACAGTACAATTTTCTATACGTATTTCATACCCGTCTGAACTTTCTCTGGTGCAATAGAAATATAATGTCAAAATGATTGCTAATAATATCAGGCTGAAGATGATGGTCAACACGACAGCTATTCCTACATCTGTCTGGAACCAAGACGGTGGTGATGACTCTTCCTTCTTGTATGGACTAACCGAATTTACAGGAAAGGTATCGAATGATTTAGATTCGAGAGGGTATGCTGGTGTACCATCATCTGATCGACGAAGGACTTTTAAAATGTCGTTTTGTGTTAAGAATGATTTTTCGTTCTGAATCCCTTCTATAGTATCTGTTGATCGATCTTTGACAACGTATACTAATGATTTAGATCTAAAGTAAAGATGAAAGGAATGGAAATATTACTGTATGTAGTATATATAAATTGCCATTAACTTATAAAATTGTTATATTGATAAATTTTAAGATATTTCGCTATTCATGGTTGTACATTAGTTTCGTTTGTTGATTTACTCGAGCGTTTGATTTTTGCAGGTTTTATGAACTTCCCCTTTTTGAATTTACCTTTGAGTTCAGTATTTTTATTAATACTCTTTCATTTTTATTTGGTCAACTCGTAAAACAAAGTACATTAACACTCAACATAACATCTAATAAGCTCATTCAAAATTTACTACACTAAAGTCGATATAAGCAATTTCATATTAATATTCAGTTCTATTCATGGTCATTAAGTCACATGACTTGAATGTACAGGGTTGTAAAGGTTACTATCTGCGGGGCCAGACAAAAGTTACTTCAAGTCAGACGACAAATAATAAACGAACATAATCCGTTACAAACCACATTGTATACCAGTAGAGTTATTAATTAATGGCATTTAATCTGTATACATAAAGATATGTCGAAATGTCAGAAAAACGAATTTTACTGTTACATTTTCACCCTTGTATGTGTTGCTAAAGTTACCTTTTTAAATTCTAAGATTGATTAAACAGTGTAATATTCCAAAAACGTATTATGAAGAACAATATTACATTCTATGGAACGCCATAGCTGTCTTATGTGTCTTTTTTATTGCTTTTCTATTATACGAAGGTGCTTTTCTATTATACGATGGTGGTTTTCTATTATACGAAGGTGGTTTTCTATTATACGATGGTGCTTTTCTATTATACGAAGGTGCTTTTCTATTATACGAAGGTGCTTTTCTATTATACGATGGTGCTTTTCTATTATACGAAGGTGCTTTTCTATTATACGATGGTGGTTTTCTATTATACGAAGGTGCTTTTCTATTATACGAAGGTGGTTTTCTATTATACGAAGGTGCTTTTCTATTAAACGATGGTGGTTTTCTATTATACGAAGGTGCTTTTCTATTATACGAAGGCGCTTTTCTATTATACGATGGTGCTTTTCTATTATACGATGGTGCTTTTGTATTATACGAAGGTGCTTTTCTATTATACGATGGTGCTTTTTTATTATAATAAGGTGCTTTTTTATTATGTGATGGTGGTTCCTGTGATTAACCGGAAGTGTGGAGTTTATTTGAAAAAAGGGACTGTGGATTCATTATTATTCGTTGGATACCAATTTTCGTCCTTTACCCACGAAAATTGGTACTCAGGAAAATAAATGAATCCACATGCAGTGCCATACCGCAAGGGGAAAGTTGGGTTTAGTTTGGAGGTTATTACTCCTAGGTTTTTTTTTCTTTAAAAATTTTCCATTGATTTTTTCTAATTTATATATAAAAGCAACAAAAACTAATATGGAAGGAGAAACACACCAAACAGGATGTGTAGATTAATATATATAACAGATTAACTAAATATTGTGCAACAGCATGTTATTGCACAATAGCAAAAAATCTGCTATTAATTTTTTGGTGTTTTTTTTATATACTAGTATGCTAAATGTGACCATCTTGTTAGATTTTAGATATCAGGCTATACTATGGAAATTCAATGTACCATTTCAATTTTCTATAAAGATATTTTACCTCAAATAACATTGATTTGTGTCAAAACCTGTGTTATGTCAACCTTTAATATTGTGTCCAGGGATTGACCTCTGAGCTCGTATCAGACTGTGCTGGGCGAAGCACTTTGTTTGTATTGTATTTACTTTCATTGCATCAGAGTTTGATTAGAGTTAATGACAGTTGAACAAGAACTACTTGTTGTATTAAAAAATATGTTGTTCAAATATCAAAATGAAATAGTTAGTTCAACATTTTAAGTAGATTTTGTATCGCTTAATGGAGTCAAAAAGCGAGACATAGGTATGCTGTTTCCGGCGGCGTCAACAATGTATTAGTTTGTGATTAGGTCTAGTTTATGGTGAAGCACTAGTGATAAGTTAAAGATATTTGGTATGCAGTTGTATTAGTATTGACACATCTCATTACCATGGAGATTATTGGCCATGCCCCCTCAGTGATGGTCTATTGACTCTGAAATTATTCCTAGGAATCATATATTAGTTTGTGATTAGGTCAATTATTGGGGAACCAATAGTGGTAAGTTAATGATACTTGGTAAGCAGTTGTATAAGCATTGGCATATCTTATTTCCATGGAGATTATTTGGCCCGTCCCCTCAGTCATTGTCTATTGACTGAATTTTTTGTTTAGTTTTTATGGAGCCTGCGACTTTTGTCACAGAAAGCTCGACATATGGATAGTGATCCGGCGGCGTTAGCTAACTTCTTAAAAGCTTTATATTTTAGGTGGAAGACCTGGATTGTTCATACTTTGTATATAGATGCTCAATGATACTAAGTTTCCGTCTGTCACATGGCCAATGTCCTTGACCTCATTTTCATGGTTCAGTGACTGCTTGAAAAAAAAGTTATGATTTTTTGTAATGTTAATTACTCTCTTATTATGAGTAACAGGATAACTTTATTTGGTATGTGCGTACCTTGTAAGGTCCTCATGCCAGTCGGACAGTTTTCACTTGACCTCAACCTCATTTCATGGATCAGTGAACAAGGTTAAGTTTCGGTGGTGAATTCTTTATCACAGATACTTTAAGCAGTAGGTCCAGTATTTTTGGCGTATGGAATGATTGTAAGGTGTACATGTCCATCTGGCAGGTGTCATCTGACCTTGATCTCATTTTCATGGTTCAGTGGTTATAGTTAAGCTTTTTTGTTTTGGTTATTTTTTCTTATACTATAAGCAATAGGTCAACTATATTTAGTGTATGGAATAATTGTAAGGTGTACATGTATTTCTTGTTTGGTTTATATTACCTTTACCTGATTTTTATACTCATGTTTATGTGATAGTTAGGCTTTCTATTTAGGACTATCAACATATTATCAATGTTTAGTAAAGAAGGCGAGACATTTCAGTATGTGCACTCTTGTCATGTATTAGTTTGTGATTAGGTCAGTTTATGGGGAACCACTAATGGTAAGTTAATGATAATAGGTATGCAGTTGTATAAGCATTGGCATTTGTCATTTCCATGGAGATTATTTGGCCCCGCCCCCTCAGTCATGGTCTATTGACTTTGAATTTTTTGCTTAATTTCAATGTATTTGTTTGTGATTAGGTCAGTTTATGGGGAACCACTAGTGGTAAGTTAATGACAATTGGTATGCAGTTGTATAAGCATTGGCATATGTCATTTCCATGGAGATTATTTGGCCCCGCCCCTCAGTCATGGTCTATTGACCTAAACTTTTGCTTAGTTTTCATACATTAGTTTGTGATTAGGTTGGTTTATCGGGAACCACTAGTGGTAGGTCAATGATATTTGGTATGCAGTTGTCTTAACATTTGAACACCTCATTACCACAAAGATTATTTGACCTTGCCCCCTCAGTTATGGTTTATTGACTTTGAAATTTTGCTTAGTTTACATGTATTAGTTTGTGTTTAAGTTTGTTTAAAGGGAATTATGATAAGTCAATGGTATTTGGTAATAGCATTGGCACATCTCATTTCCATGGAGATTGTTTAGCCATGTACCTTCAGTCATGGTTCATTGACTTTGAATATTTGCAAAACTTGCATGTTAAAGTGTTGCTATTTTGATTTCAACATATGCATTATAAAAATTACCAAAAAGGGAGACATATCTCTATGATAACAGTTTATTTATTTTAGTAAACCTGACTGGAGGAATTTCAGTAGAAAAAATCTATTTAATTTGAATTTTCTGTGTTTGATATCTTCATACCATGACTCTAAGTTTTAAAAAGGTATCTGGGGGGGGGGGGGGGGGGACATGCCCTCCAGACCCTCTTAGAAAATTTTTCGCATTTGGCCCTCAACAGTGATACTACTAAAAAAAACTGAGAACATTCAAATATTACTGATAGACTCACTTTAGATAAACACATCTGCGTTATAGATGAGCATCACCACACAAGTTGGAGACTGTTCTTAGTGTAAGAACGGTAGAAGATGCCTTGAAATGAAATTTAGCTCAAGTTCAAGATAGGTGATACTCCTATATAGCCAAATTTAATCACTGGAAAGCATTTTCGCAAATATTAGCATTGATTTCATTGCATTAAAATGCTTTTAACCCAAGTCTAATAGTAAAAATAAGTACATTCAGCTACATACTAGTACCTCGGACAGTTTCGAAAAGTACATGTTCGCTAAAGCTTGCCGACACATTTTTTTAAAATCAATGGACTTGTGTACTCCCGCAATACTTGTGACACAGTAAAACCTGTCTTAACCGAACCGATTACAGTTAGTTGAAGTAGAGACATATAAAACAAGAGATTGGAAAGTCTGAATATTATACAATATAAAATTGAAGAGGTTTCGGTCTGGAACATTTGATGACAAAATGAAGTTTTCATATTATCATGACAATATTTTGAAACTTACTAAATAACAAAGTATTGAGGGGCATGTGTTGATTTTTGATACTTCTTTTACAACTTCTGTGATCGGTATATTTAGATATCTTGTTAAGATTTTGAAAAATTAAGGAATATTTCTGAAAACTTAACTACTTTCTTTCTTTATATATGAATCTTATACATGTTATATTCTTATCAAAGCATGTGGCTGCAATATTTCTCGAGATTTCACAAAGTTGCTTATCTCTAGTATTATATGTCTCTGGTTGAAGTACTTTTTAATTTGGCAAATTGTAAGACCAATAACTTAATATTCAGGACACAATTAATGATTTTCAGTTCAAACACAAACATTTTAGTATTTGTTCATTATAATTTCATTTAGCTGAACCATGTAGCCAACCCTTATATATAAAAAAAAAGATAAAACAGGGAATGGCAATAATTCGATATAAAACATCAAACAGCACCAACACCACCAATCAAGCCATCAAAATAGAGACATTCAGCGACAACACAACAAAAAAACGGAAAATGTACAGAAGGTAGAGAGAAGTCCCGACTTGGTACAGGCACTCTGGCAAAACTTGGCAGTGGTGGGGTTGAACCATGTTTATGGGTACACTAACCTTGCCCCTCAATCTACTCGACTTCCTATCATGATTCGAATAACGCGCAGCATAAAGACTTGCACAATACAATTGTCAACTCAGCGTCCATATAAGTTAGAGAAATTGGTTATAATAAATACTAAAATAGTTAGAGGATATACAGATCTGTACATTGTACATGTACTACCTCTACACAAAATGATACAGTTACATATAACCAATATACCACTTTAAAGCTTGAAGTTGTTGAAAAGTCATGGGGTTTTATGAGATTAAGTATATAAAGAAGTTATGCAGTTATCAATTTACGTTCAAGATATGAAGGCAATTTAGTAAATTACAAATAAGTTTAAATAACCAGTTTAGTTATTTCTTTCAATGACTTCCAAACATTCAAGATAATAATCTATTCCAAAGTTAGTATTGCTTCTTATCAATTGTCGAGTTAAATCCAGCCTGCATTGATCACTTATCATGTGTGCAAGGGGTCCAAATATTGGTCTCTCGCCCTCTTCTACATCATTTTGATCCACATAGCCTTCAATTCCATAATCTTGCAAATTTGCTTCTCCTTCGGTAATTCCTACGGCATTTTAAAGTTGACCTGAAGTCCACAAGCTCAATGGAGATGAATTAACAGTGCGTAGTCTATGACCAGCCCATGCCTCTGCCCAAAATTGCAGCTTCCCGTTTATTTCGTCCATGAAAACAAAGTGGAGAGCAGCTAAGTTTGTCAGTTTTAGTGGGTCTAGATAACATTCATCTTCCATGAAATAAAATAAGTTGTAAAAGTAACTAAGCACTACACATCTCTCCATAGTCTCTCAATCCGTTGATTATGAGTGTTTTTTCCCGTTACCATACTGTTTGGGCCTTTTTGAATCAACATGTAGTTTGCCACAGAAACATTTTCCAATCCTTTGTCAGACCTAACTTTATTGGGTATCCCATACTTTGCAACACCGGAGAAGAAACAATCCAAAACTGTTCTTGATGTGTTGTTGTCGGTACATTTTAAAAATGTTATCAATCGACTAAACCCGTCAATGCCACCTACAATAACAAATCTCCACCGGACAAGTTTATGATGTGTATCTATGTGCCAGAGGTGATTTTGGACCCATTACATTATAAACACGCCTATGAAGCCTACCAGTACGTCTCGCCTGTACACCGGCGGTATCTAATCGATGCATACACTCCCTCAGTCTCCATCTCTGTACTCTTATGCCTTTTAATAGAAGCATCTGTTGCAATAGTGTTTCGCCACACGATGGAAACTCTTTCATTATTTGTCCAAGTGTCAAGTCTAAATCACTGTCATCAATTTGTGTAAAATTCATTTTACTTAATCCGAACTGTGACATTCTTCGGTGAATGGTGCTTTCAGACACGGACAACAATTTAGAAATGTCGGATACTTTAAATCCATTTTCCAGAACATTTTTAGAACAGACTTTGGAATATCAAATTTCGGAGGGCCGCATTCAGAGTTTATTTTATTAGGGGCAGACGTTCCATATTTTACACATTCAGTTCTTAACTTCATCATATCTGCCCTACTAGATACACCTAATATTTCCATTTCATGTTGTCGAAAGCCTACAACGCTCTCAAAGTTTGGAAATGCCTGCTGCAAGTTTAATTTCTGTAAAACGTTTAACATTTTAGTATTCACAGCCATGGCCGCCATGTTGGTTCGGTGAGATTCAAATACACGCCACGCTTCCGGTTAATCACGGGAACCACCATCACATAATAAAAAAGCACCTTATTATAATAAAAAAGCACCATCGTATAATAGAAAAGCACCTTCGTATAATACAAAAGCACCATCGTATAATACAAAAGCACCATCGTATAATAGAAAAGCACCTTCGTATAATAGAAAACCACCATTGTATAATAGAAAAGCACCTTCGTATAATAGAAAAGCACCTTCGTATAATAGAAAAGCACCTTCGTATAATAGAAAAGCACCATCGTATAATAGAAAAGCACCTTCGTATAATAGAAAAGCACCATCGTATAATAGAAAAGCACCTTCGTATAATAGAAAAGCACCTTCGTATAATAGAAAACCACCATCGTATAATAGAAAAGCACCTTCGTATAATAGAAAACCACCATCGTATAATAGAAAAGCACCTTCGTATAATAGAAAAGCAATAAAAAAGACACATAAGACAGCAATGGCGTTCCATAACATTCCTTTTTTATGTTTAAATATACGAAAATCTTACCCTGTTGACAACAGTTTTCGTCTGCCCACGACAGTATCTTCATCTATTATGTCCCATATCCCAACTCGATTGTCTAGAGGAAATAATGCTTGCAATGCATACTTTAGCATATTCCTGAGAAAAAAAGAACATATTGAACATAAAAACCGAATACGTTTTATCTTTAAAGTTGTTTGACCGATATGAAGAACGGGAAATTTGGATTGATACAGGAACATATGTCATAATTAAAAGGGGCATAATATTTTTGCCTTCCAACAACCCTTACTCAAAATAAGATGTCGCATGAGCTTAAAAGTGGAAGAGAACATGTATTATTGGTGTGGAAGAGAAAATATTATTGGTATTGACACATTCTCTCTTCCACTTTCAAGCTCATGCGACATCTGTTTTTGAGTAAGGGTTGTTCGTTTCAACAAATTCAAAAAGGGGAAATTCATAAAAGTTGAAAAAATCAAACGCTATCAATCAACGGAACAAAAACTATTTTTTTAGGCATATTATTTAGTTTTATATAAAGAATTTGCCTAAACAAATAGTTTTCCACTTGTTCCGTTGATTGATAGCGTTTGATTTTTTCAATTTTTATGAATTTCCCCTTTTTGAATTTGCCTTGGAGTTTTTTGTTCTACATTTTTACAGCATTCCTATTCCCTTCATTGTGTAATATGAAAAAGGAATATGTGTTGTACCTTCATGGAGTTGATCTACTAGTCATCGCTATACAAATTGAAGCATATTTTTTGTTAATTCATGTACTTAACATTTACTGAATGTAAATGCAAAATTATGTATCCAACTAAGGTTTCAATATTTAAAAAGAAAGTTGACATGTATATTTGATCTATATTCTGTCTTTGAAATAGGAATGCATTATCCTTTTTTTATTTTGTAGATAACTGTATCTTTTTTTTGTTTCGTAATGAAACGCCTGGATTAACTAATTACATTAAAGAACACTTTTTATATTCAGACCTTTGCGCCCTGACTGTAGTAACTGGAACTACATGCTCTATTACCACCATATGTTGGTTTGGAATCAATGTATCTACACGGATTATACCAGCAGCACTTTTCCATGTATCATTCGTCTTTGTCTGAGCTATACCCCACATAACATATCGAGTATCCCTGAATAAAAAGTTTTCATTCTGTACATACAAATCACCCCCATCCGGGTGGATGTCAAACACACCTCCTTTATTCATGGTCAAAAACCTTATTGGGTCTGCTAATGACTGGTATATTCCGAAATCATGAGGTGTGAATGTTGTTAAACTGTCCCCATTATGTGCATTTACAGCACATTCCAATGAAAAATAAGTAGCAGGTTTATCTTCGTATGGTTTTGTATCCTTTACATCTATAATATTAACCACTACTTCAGCTGTTGCAGTCCTTGAAGGATAACCTGCATCCTCAGCAAATACAGTTAATGCTAGATCAGAAATCATTTCATAGTCCGGTATAATTTTAAGTACAAGAATAGATTTCTGATTATTCATCTCAAATAGAGCATTAGCCAGCGGATCTGCTGGGTCAATGGTCAATGTAATATTTCCATTTTCATTAATGTCGTCATCTGTTACTGAAAAGATTACTACAGGCAAACCCACCGGACTATTTTCTACCACTGAAATTTCTCTATATGGCATTAAAAACCAAGGATTGTTATCATTTATGTCGTCAATTATAACATGAACTAATTTATGATAGTTTGTTTTATTATTTATGCTGTCTACGATGAATATGGTTAAAAAGTACTCATCAGCATCCTCTCTGTCGAAAAACTTCTCTGTCCTTAATATTCCGCTAGCCTGTTCGATTGAAAATAAATCAACACTGTCTCCACCTATTAAACTAAAATATGCTTGGCCTTGTTGCCCATGAATATTATCCGGAAGTACTTTGCCAACATACGTTCCTATTGAAACATTTTCTGGTATCCTGAATTCAAAATGAGATCCTTGATTGATTACTGAAGGATAAATAGCTATATTTACTTTAGCCGTCGCACTTAGCCTAGGATATCCGTTATCAGCTGCTTTAATTACAATTTTGTGAAAATCTGCTGCCATATGAAGAAAAGCATTTGTCTTTATTTCTCCGGTGGTTATATTTATCAAAAAGAAATTATCTTCATTCCCATCAATTATAAAGAAATCAATTTTCGAATTTAAATCTTTATCGGAATCTGTTGCGTTAACTTTTGCAATCACTGCTCCTGCTGCAATAAATCTATCAATTTTAACATCATAAATCGCGCGCGATAATATTGGGTTGTTGTCATTAACATCAACTACAGTTACAACTAATGTTGTTGTTGATGTTTTAGATGGGACACCACCATCTTTGGCAATTATTTTCATATTATACGTTTCGTTTTGTTCTCTGTCAATTTTTTCAGATATATAAATATGACCCTTTTGCAAATGTATTCCAAAATTTATATCATCATTCCCAGATTCTATTGAATATGTCACCTTGCCATTTAAATCAAGATCAGGGTCATCTGCTTTTAGTTGATAGATGATGTCTCCAATATTAACATCTTCCATAACATCAACATAATAAACAGGTTGTCGAAAACGAGGTTTATGGTTGTTTATATCGTTGACCTTAATCATAACCTTAGCTCTACTACTACGTCTTGGACTACCGTTGTCAGTAACTACAACTGACAATACATAACCCTTCTGTACTGAAGCGTTAAGAGAGTTGTTAACGGATATTATTCCTGAAGATGAGTTAATGGAAAATGAATCTAAATTTTCACCGGCAACAATGTCATATTCTAATTCAGCGTTTTCATTTATATCATAATCTACAGCCTCGACCTTTCCTACCAAGGAATCTGTCTTTGCATCTTCGTCAACAAGGAAGATGTAAGCAGCGTTTGAAAAGAAAGGCGAATTATCATTGACATCCAACACGTCAATTTCAATTGTCAAAATCTCATATAAATTTCTGTTATATCTGTTAACGCATTTGATATTCAACGTATGACGTTTCATATTTTCTCTGTCCAAATTTCCAGATATAATTATTTCCCCAGTATTAACGTCCGTTGAAAAATATTTTGCGTCATTTAAACTTTGTAATATGTACTCTAAATCTCCAGGGACGTTCCAGGTCCCTTCCGTTGCCCCACTTAAAGTGGCATCGACGTCGTAAACTGTAGTTCCAACAGTTATACCTTCACTAATATTTATTTTTACGCTCGTTTCGTAAAGTTTAGGCGATTTATAAACCGGAGCAACGTCAACTGTTACTAAAATGGACGATGACCTCGGAGGACTCCCTTGATCCTTGACCTCTAACCCAATTATGTAGTTATTAATGGTTTCGTAATCAAGTGGACTATTTACGACAATGTTAGTGTTGTTTAATCGGAATCCGTTTCCAGTATTTCCAGATATAATGCTATACATCAAATTGGCATTTTCTGCAATATCTTTATCATCACATTGTATTTTCGTTACTATGGTACCACTAGTCTCGTTTTCATGTACATTTGCTGAAATGAAATGTTGCTGACAAAATGGATCATTGTCATTTATATCAGACACGGTAATCGCCACAACTGTTGATGTTTGGTCGCCTGCCCCATTGTCAGCTTCTACTGTTAAGTTATATTCCGGAACGTTTTCACGGTCCACACGTCTACCCAGTATTATGTTTCCTGATTTACTATCAATAGTAAAAGAACCATCATTCCCGTCTGTTATTTGATAATGCATATGCGCATCTTTATCCGGATCTTCCGCCTGAACTGCCAAAATATAAGCACCAAGAGGGGCATTTTCAGGTATTGTATATCTAAAAGGATTGCCAGTTACAAAAGTGATTGGAAATTCATCAAAGTCCTTTACAAGCACGACAACTGTTGTGGTTCCGGTTAAGGACGGTTTGCCTTTATCATGCGCGATGATTGTTAAGGTATAATCTGTAATAGCTTCAGCATCTAATGCTTTGTTTAAAATAAGTTCCCCATTTGTTGATATGGTAAAAGTATTTCCGATGTTCCCAGATTCGACGGAGTATTCAATATCTGCATTAATTCCATCATCGTCATCCTTTGCTGAAATCTGACCTATGCTTGTTTTTATTGGAATATTTTCAACAACTGAAAATTCGTAGAAATTGTTATCGAATGTTGGTATATTATCGTTAGAATCCTTAACGCGAATATTGACAGAACCTGTAGATGAAAGTTTTGAAATGTTATCCGTAAGTTGCAATGTAAGCGTGTATGAAGGTGTCTGTTCTCGATCAAGTTTGGAGATCAAATAAATGTCACCTGATACATCATTTATACCAAATATTCCATCACTGTTGCCAGATTTGATAGCAAATCTCATAAACTGGTATTTGGACGTAGATTTAACGACATATATCACATTTCCTATCTTTTCATCTTCATTAATATCTAATGTTTTTGGTAACTGCAAAAATTTAGGTTCTCCAATGACATTGACCTCGATATGAACTGGACTTTTCTTTGGTGGAATCCCACCATCGAAAACAATAACCTCCAAGTTGTAGGCAGGTTTACTTAATACTTTAGCCACAACTATGCGACCTTGTGAGTCGATTGTAAAATCTAAATTGGTATTGCCTTTGTTAATAGCATATGCCAAATCACCATTTGGTCCCACATCTGAATCGGAACATTTTAACTTGTAAACCAAATCTCCAATGATAGAAGATGAAGGTACCTCTACGCTTGCAACTGTTTTACACAAGGGACCTTCTTCGTTTACATCATCAATCACTACTGTCAAAGTTGTTGTTCCTGTTTGTTTCGCGTTTTTTGATTGGTCGATCGCATGAATTTCAACAAGATATGAACCAGTAGTTTCGCGGTCTAAGGTAGTCACTGGTCGGATTATTCCACTGTCATTGTCTATGGTAAAAAGGTCTGAATGAGTAGATATAGAATAAATAATGGTCCCATCTTCGCCGTGATCTTCGTCCTTAGCCTGTACTTGTGTTATCGATGTTCCTGTTGCAAATAAGATAATACATGAAAACAAGATGTAAGAAAATGGTATTAACTGTTTAACGACAATCAAAATATGTTTCTATTTAAGTCATACAGCTCCTAACGTTTATACATATTTATACATTCCTACCTTTCAAATGTTTGGGTTTGAGATTTCCTGATGAAGAAAATCCAGAAAAGCGCTTCGAACGCATACAACTTATTAACAAAAATTATAATTTCTGTTCCGAAAAAAAAAGATCTTCATGTCGTTCATATTTATCCACTGCAATAGCGTAGACTTTTTCAATAAATTTTCTATCGTTATTTTACTTTCTCAAAACTTTAATTTAACCTTTTGTACAGAATACAAAATGACGTCACCACAAATGTAAATGTTGTCACATCACAAGTGGTAGATGTTCTTAAACAATTTATTTTTAGGATTAATACCTCCGATTTGTATCTAAATTTATAACGCGTACGTAATATATTTGGAATTAAAGTCATCTTTCTTTTACAAATTTGAAGAGTTTTTGAGTTCATTGGGACACACAGTAATGTATAAGAAGACATACAGTGAAACCTGTTTTAAGACCACTCAAGGGAGAGAAAAAAAGGGGTTTCATGAGACGGTTGGTCTTTTAATACAGATTTGATCTATATGAAATGCACTACAGAGGGATCTAAAACTAATGGGCCTAAAACACAGGTTTTGCTTAATACAGGTGGTCTCTTAAGCAGCTTTGACTGTATAATAATACCATGTATTTCCATTTTATACATGAATTGACCTAAAAAATAATCATTTAAATGTAAAAAGGTATACATATATAAATGAAAATATCCCCATAAGACAATAGGTTTTGGTTCCTTACCATATGCATTTTCTAATACTAAAAACTATACTCGGTAAAAAAAAATCTGTCATTCACTGTTTTGATAATAGACAGAGAAAATGGTCAGAGAAAAATTATCATTGATTAACTTAATTTTCATTTAATATTAATATAATTGCTTGCCTGGAGTAATATTTTCTAGAACAGAAACGGTATAGGATTGGCGAACAAACGTTGGAGGGAATTCATTGACGCCTATAACGCTGACCAAAACGCTGGCTGTTGTCACCAAAGGTTTGTTGCCGCCGTCACTTGCGACAACAGTTAGAAAACACGATTGTTTACGTTCATAATCGAGTTGGCTATCGGTTGAAATTTTTCCTGAGTTCTTATCAACTGACATTCGACAGCCGTCGTCCATATTTCCATCTAAAATAAGAAAAGAAAATCCTAAATAATATAGGTACCCTACCATAACATATATAAGTTTGATTTTGTCCGAAATTTAATTTACAAGTCTAACTAAGGAATAAATAACCTCAATGCTCTTCAACTTCGTATTTTATTTGGCCTTTTTAACTTTTTTTATTCAAGTGTCACTGTTGAGCCTTTTGTAAATGACACGCGCGTCTGGCGTACAAAATTTTAATCCTGGTATCCATTATCATTTTTAATGTTAAGGAAATATGTACCATAATTGACAATGTTATAGCTAAAATATATTTTTTTTTCCATGAAAAACTGCGGAAAAAATATATTATACTGTTACAACAAGTTAATTTCGGGAAAAAAAAGAACTAGCGTGACATTTCATTATTCTCAAAATGCAATATGGTATGGATATGTGTACTCGAATCGTAAGAATGTTAAACTTCGTGAAGCCTTGATTCTATTGCTACTTGTAATACTTGCTTATACATCTGTTTTCTGGGACTTCTAATTCGGAAGTCTTATTTTGCAATTATCATATACACATCATAGTGACGCATTTAATTTACAATATACCTATTTGAAAGAGAAACATACTGAATTTACATTTTTAGAAGCAATTTATTTCCTGTGATATGGAAAGCTGGGAGCAATTTCATAAGAAAAACTTAGTACATAAATAGTATATATAATGTCTCTTTTGTAAACAAAAGTTTTAACGAATATTTAAACAGTATAATTTCGACTATTCATGTCATTTTCTCGTCATAAACGACATGTGTTTCTGTTACGAGCCTTTTTAGCTATGCTCAATGCCAAGAGTCTGAAAAAGCTCTGTCGTCTCGAGGTAAGGTGGTAGCCTATCTCTGTCAGGTCAAAACAAATACATTTGTAATGTTGTAATGGTATTTTCTGCTTTTCAACTTAGCATGTGGTATTAAGGAATGAGAGCTACAATTTGTAGGTTCGGACTCAGATAAATGTAATCGGATGTTGTGACAATTATTTCTGAGCGCAGCTACCTTGTGACCTAGGACGTTAAAATCGTCAATGAGTCGATCTTATAGAAAGTGTTATTCACATCCATATCACATAATGCAATGTTTTCGTCATGAATGAGCATGTTATAATATATCTGGCAATGGGTGTAATTTTAATCCATCAATTATATTATTTGAAATGCTGTACACACATAAAGATAATAACAAGAGCGTCATAGTTATCATTACCTAGTATTGAGTATGATATCTTTTTGTTCCTGCCTTCGTCGATATCAGTAGCACGGACACTGAGCAGGACGGAATTTATTTTAGTATCTTCAGGCCAAACAGAAGAGTATATTTCCTTTAAAAAATAATTAAAAAACATCAAGAAAATACTAGAATAACACAATGGAATTTATTATGTTTTTTGTGGGTCGTTAATTGTAAACTATCTAAGGATGTGCTGACATTGATTTATAGAACGGAAAAATACCATACAATTTTAAACAAGCAACATCAGTCCCTTCTATGATTGCAGACGAACTTGAGGCATGTATTATAATTGAGATTCGAAAACTGAAAGATTTCGATTTTTTTCATTAAGCATATCATTACAAAAATCTTTTTTTTTACCTGAGAAAACACTGGATAATTATCATTTTCGTCCGTAATCTTTATAGAAATTTCACCAAATATTTTCTCCGATATCATGTTTGATGAATGTGCAGATACAGCCAATTTGTATTGGTCTTTGTCTTCTCGGTCAAGCTCTGGACTAGCAACAATTATTTTTCCTTGAATGTAAACAAACAATTTAACTCAAAATAAATCATAAAAACCATTTAGACACTTAAGACACTTAAGAAATTAACCAACTCATCTTTGGGTATTTTCATTACTGATAATGCCGAATGTCAAGAATGTGTCCATAGTACACGGATGCCCCACTCGCACTATCATTTTCTATGTTCAGTGGACCGTGAAATTGGGATAAAAACTCTAATTTGGCTTTAATATTAGAAATATCATATCATAGGAAACATGTGTACTAAGTTTCAAGTTGATTGGACTTCAACTTCACCAAAAACTACCTTGACCAAAAACTTGAACCAAAAACTTTAACCTGAAGCGGGACAGACGGACGAACGGACGCACAGACCGAAAAACATAATGCCCCTAAGTTGGACATAAAAACCATGCTCCTATTTTAGGTGTATTGAAAATAATAATATAACATCTGTAGCCGTTGTATGATAATACATATAGATTCTTACATTGATACCAGTGGATTATCGGATTTATCCAATCGAGATAGTTAAATTATCAATTTTAAAGTCTGAGCCTTGGCGAGGACTTTAAAATTTATAATTTAACTATCGAGATTGGATAAATCCGATAATTCACGAGTAACTATGTAAGAATCTGTTTCTCTAATGATTAAAAAATACATTTTCATTTTTTGTTAAACCAAAACCCCCTTCGAGTGCCTTCCACATTTCACAAAAGTGTCAATTTCATTAACACCTGTTAGCATATTTTGAGCTGATAAAGGTTATGACCCTTAAATTCATCCAATTATCTTCTGAGATCACCGGCAACCACACGTTGGTTAATTTTTTTTTATACAATGAGTGCAGAAAGGTATAAATTGTCATAGAATTAGAGAAATATAGATTCTTACATTGATACCAATGGATTATCGGATTTATCCAATCGAGATAGTTAAATTATCAATTTTAAAGTCTGAGCCTTGGCGAGGACTTTAAAATTTATAATCTAACTATCGAGATTGGATAAATCCGATAATTCACGAGTAACTATGTAAGAATCTGTTTCTCTAATGATTAAAAAATACATTTTCATTTTTTGTTAAACCAAAACCCCCTTCGAGTGCCTTCCACATTTCACAAAGTTGTCAATTTCATTAACACCTGTTAGCATATTTTGAGCTGATAAAGGTTATGACCCTTAAATTCATCCAATTATCTTATGAGATCACCGGCAACCACACGTTGCTTAAATTTTTTGTATACCATGAGTGCAGAAAGGTATAAATTGTCAAAGAATTAGAGAAACGGATTTCTCTAATTCTATGGAAATTTATCCCTTTCCGAACCCATTGTATAAAAAAATTTAATCAACGTGTGGTTGCCAGTGATCTCAGAAGATGATTGGATGAGTTTAAGGGTCACAACCTTTCTCAGCTCACTGGATGCATCAAAATATGCTAACAGGTGTTAATGAAATTGACAACTTTATGGAAAGTGGAAGGCACTCGAAGGGGATTTTAGTTTAGCAAAAAAGGAAAATTAATTTTTTTATCATTAGAGAAACAGATTCTTACATAGTTACTCATGGATTATCGGATTTATCCAATCTCGATAGTTAAATTATAAATTTTAAAGTCCTCGCCAAGGCTCGGACTTTAAAATTGATAATTTAACTATCTCGATTGGATAAATCCGATAATCCACTGGTATCAATGTAAGAATCTACATATATCGACACAAAGAAGTATATCGACCGCAGACTAGTTTATCATAAGTGTGGAAAAAGTATGTTCCATGCCTGCCTTATTCAAATACTTATTGAGCGTCTTTGTATTGTCTTACTAAGATGTTATTAATGACACACCACAGAATGACAAAGCCAATTTGCTGTCTTGGTAACGTTAGACTGTGTGTCACAATCATGCAGAATTTTCTGATTTGGAACTAAGTTTTACCGTAATATCATGGCAGGTATTCTACACTTATTACACCGTTCAGGTTCGACATGGCTCTTTAAAACTGCATTGCGTAAATGTTTATGTACTATTGAAAGAAAATATCTATCTATTATTCATTATTTATTTATTTTTTCCGGTTGTGTTGCCATGTTTCTATAACCATGGACTGACTCCATTAGGTTTTAATTGCAGAAATATAAGGCATTCAAAGAAGTTATCATTGAGGAACAATACACACATTTATTTGATACTTATATACCATACCAGTATCTGTTTCAATGGTAAATGCTTTTGTCATGTCTTCGATGGCATATTTTATTTTAGAATGTTTTGTACCAGGTCTGTCGTCATCTATAGCAGTCACCATGGCAACAAAAGTCCCAACGTCTGAATTTTCAGGAATCGCTGTAAATGATTTTAAACTTAATTACGTAATCACTCCTTATAAATAATCATTTGATTAACTCTTTACTGTGAATTAAACAAAATCAAAAGTGAAATGTTGTATAAAAGATTAATATATTAATACCTTTAATATATATATATACCATGTTTATATTTTTTCGTTTGGGCTTGTATTATATTTTCCTTCGGGTTTATATGATCCGTTCATCCTACTTCGACTCTTTAAAATTCAAGTCTAATCTAAATTGAGGTAAATTATATGGCCTTCCAAATACTGTTTCGATCCCTAACATCACTGAAGAGACATTAATTGTCGAAATCCGGATATGGTGTAAAAATTTTTAAACCTTATGTTTGCGGTATACCATCGTCTCCGCAAGTTTATTGTTTTGT